CAATTAAGGAGTTTCCACCCTTCGTAATACACATGTTTTTCTTTTCGTATTTTCGTGTCGTCATTTCCGTATTGCGTATCGGGCATTCCATTACCGTGGTGTAAATTATAGTAACACCGGGTAAACAATAGTACACGTGCGTGACGATGATATGTCAACACCCGATATCGAGACTTAACTTGGAAATGTGTAATCACACGTACTTCAGAAATAAAGCTTATGATACAAAGACATTAATTAACTCACGGGCAAACACTGACATATGATCAGACGACTTCCAAGAAGGTCGTATATGAGGCGCATGGAATGCAGACTGATGTGTTTTGTTTACCGACCTCACCTGTACGTATCACGTGCTAACAGTAGTTCACAAGCTCTTGGTCGCTACGACTTTTGTTGTCGAGCGAGTTACGCTCTGTCAGATAAATCGGTTCACAAATGCAATTACAATAACTCTGTTAAAAAGTGGTTTGTAAAATATCAAGATCCCTATAAAATGCAAGTGCATGTGCGTGCACGTAATAACGGCATACCATGCGATAGCCTATGGTTACATATGTACCTGACATGTTAATATACCATGCGTAAGCAGGCTATGGAATGATGTCCAAAGTGTACATGATTGAGAGTAATTTTGTTCCATAAAAGAACAGTAAATTGACAATTAAATCTAGTAATTTAAATTACTTCCGTCGTTTTTTGGTATAGTAAAGAAAATAAGTGTCATTGTATAAATTCTATCCCTCTGCAAAAAGTTCCGTTTTTTTTCAAGGTAGACAACTCTCATCAGGATCAAAATTATTGTAAAATGTAAAATAAATTAATTATAAAGACTTTGTGTGCATTTGGTTCAATTTTTCAGTCTTTTTGTATGAAACTATGTGTCCTGTTTGCTTTTAGCTTGTATTTAGTAACTGTTATCCATACAATTTCAATAAAAAACGCTTTTTGTAACATGTTGTAGATATTTTATGATAAATAAAATATTTGTAGGGTTGATTAGCAATGTTTCTTTTCATTATTTTATTGTTGTTATAGTTTTGAACAATGCCACACGCTCAAAAAATGTAAAAGTGTTGAATTTGACAAAAATTCAATATTTCTGTATTTTTTACAAAAAAATCCCCAGTTTATCGGAATGCTTAGATTTTCATAAAATTTTCTCTACATAGTGACATAACCATTATGTGAAACTTTCATTGAATTCTGCTGGCTAATTGCGAAAGGGTGGAGCCTCCTTAACTTGAAACCATAGTTTCTCTCACCTGTGTTTAACACCTGCCAATCAAACTATTTTGATACAATGGAAAGTATCTTGCCTGGGGCTGTATATTCTGTACAGGAATGGCGATTTTAAAGAGAACTGCATTACAAGCATTTCTTATATGATACTAACAATACATACTCGGTACGATAACTAGTTTCATTATTTATATAACCCAACTTTTTTTGAGAAGGCAATTAACGCGGAAAAATATGCAACGGTCACTGGTCTACGATCAGAGTTGTACGATGTCTATATAAAGATCTAATTGTCCGTAACATAATTTTGAAAAAGAGTTTATGAAATATTCCAGAGATCGTTTTTCACTACTTTCTGTATTTAAAAAGTAGCACTCACTTCTCTGGAAATGGTACACATATTGTTGAATTCTCGTTATTTTTAGAGGAATAGAAAATTTCACATACATCTGATTAACAGAAAGTAAAAATAGAATGTAGAACAACTTGGAACTCTTCTTCGTTTGAGAAATAACACAGTTTTCTTAGACTCTCTGCCTTAAGTTCATTTTTGTTTTTACTCCATTCTCTTATCGTTGATCATAAGTTAGCAACTTAGATTCGGGAAATCTTACTGAAGCGACGAATTTCAATTTTGTGATATAGGTTCGATCTTGTTTACCCGTACTTTTTTTTGTTTCCTGAAAAATAAGTTAGAAATTATCTTATTTATTATAATAAAATCTATTGTAATAGTCGAAATGAAATAAATGTACATTTATACAAATATGGTAATCGGATGCTGGTTATCATTTTTGTTAAGCACGTGTGAAGTCTTCGAAAGTAATTTCCTAATTATATTCCATTTGTATTTGTAATTGTATATGTATTATTATTCTTAAACGGAAGAAATGAAGTTTATAGCATTTGGTTTGGAACGCAGGCATTGAACGAAACGTGAGATCAACAGATAGATGCGGATTTGTCTACGGAATATACGGCGGCGGCATTTTAAACTATTATAAACGTTTTTGTGTGAAATGACATTCATTGGAATTTTATTAAGTATTGATAATACATAGTTTTAACACATATCAGGATCATTTTGACACTATACCAACGTATGAAAATGGATCACAACGTTAGTTTGAATTTTTATAAAAACATCGACAGATTCTGTGGATCAAATCTAAGGACCGGCATGGACTTAATGCGATTGATTTTTCTTCAAAAAGTAATATACATAGAAACAACATATATTTGTTAAAAGTACGAAAATATCACAAAAACTGAAATATTCTTGTAGGAATATGAGCTGGTCTTACGATGATATTGTGTATGTCATGTATATATATATAATTTATACATGACCATCCGTGAAGGAATACGGTATATTAGACGAATTTAAATTGAAACCTAACAGTGTCAAAGAGGTCATAATTAAAGAAATGCAATACAGGTAACTTTCAAAACGTAGTTGGTTTAAAACTTCTAAATAATATTCAAATTTAAAGTGTACCCTGAACGTTTTTCAGTATCAAGTTACAAATATTGTTCATATTATACAATAAAATGCTTAGGAAGTGCGAACGTCGTAGTTGACTCCGTTTACGAGATATTGAGATTTTTGTGAAAAGCACACCTTTGGCTCAGCGGCGATAACCTCGTTTTGGGGTAGCCGCAACCTGTGACGTCACAAGTTCAACGCGATCAAAACAGCCATATTGGATTACATAGGGGAAGCTCCAATCGCGCGAATGTAAGCCGTTATTATGATGTATTCTGTAATCAGTTTTTGGTGAAAGTAATATACATGTGTTTGTAATTAAGTATATCATACATGTCAACGATTATTTTAACAATTAAGTGCTAAAATGAGTTCATATCGAGGAGGCAAACGATGTGCTGCATACGGATGTCCGAACACGCCTGTGGATGGGGTATCATTACATGCGTTTCCATTAAACCGTGCAGCTCAATGTAAACAGTGGACACAATTTGTGATGAAAAAGAGGGACAAATGGACAGGACCTACAAAATATTCGTACCTGTGTTCGAAACACTTTGAAGACAGTGCATATCCTCTGAAGTACACCATCATGAGAACCATGGATCAGACTCCCCCAAGAAAGAGATGTTTAAATGAGGATGCAATCCCTACAATTCAAGCGGATTCAGATACAGTTGATGTCGTCAACCTGATGCCAATACACCAGTCAACACCTAAGGTCAAGAAACTGAGGACAGGTTACTTAAAACGCGAGAACAGCAGGGTAAGTCTCCAACAGATTCCGAACAAATCTTGAACATAAGTCATAACTAACAAATCATTCTGATTCTTTCATGAATTACGAGAAAAGGTCCTATTAAATGTCTTATGAATAAGGAGTACTACATGTACTATGTTGGTCTACCGTCTAGGTCTAATGAGTGTATAGAACCATAGGAGCCTGAAGTTCTGTCAATAATGAATAATAATAGTAATACAAAAAAATACCCCTAATATATGCTTAAAAAATAGACATGTCTATTTTTTTAAGAATGTTAGAGGTATTTTTTTTTCAGGCTCCTATGATAGAACCTACTGTCAGTGTAGACTAGGCATACATACTGGTTTTCACAAAATCTCTGTTCCCTTGTCAGGTGATTAGCTGCACGCTTTTACTGTATGTTGGTATACATGTGGAGCCACAAAAAAATCAAACATAAAATTAAAACAAAACAACACTTGCACACACCCATAATTGCCACACTATCAAGGCCCTGCCCACAGGGGCACGCAGACACTTCTATTGATCTTTTTAGACTTTCAGTCACTGGGCACGTTATTTATATTCCAATACATGTATTGGGATATAACATACCAAACGACTGCAAGTCTAACAAGATCAATATTGATAGCAGTTGTTTGCCCCTGTGTTCTGCCCTGGGCCCATTCCTAACTAATCCACTCAAAACAAGGGCTAGCTAGGCCCTGCTTGTAAGATGCTTTTGATGAAATTCTGAGGTGAAACAGATAAAATTCAAGAATACCTGAAACTCGAAACACTATTGAATAATATTTGTAAGCTTCATATTTATGTTATTTTTTTACGAACAGATAGCCCTTCAGTACCAGTCTGAAACACATTCAGAGCCAGTGTCAACATTTTGTACACCGACAGAGGATAATGATATGGAAACTGAGGAAGACATCACACCTAGTACAGTGGAGCAGGTATAATACAAAGTTCTATTTAATTGAAATAAGTAAAATAAACTTCAGGTCATTTAATGTGGTATTCATCATTTTGATCACAATTCAGAGTATGCATCAGCCATTATATATGAATACAAATAGGCTGAAAAACTTAATTTTGTGGTTTTGTAAAGCATTGTGTTTATAGATTATGATTATTAAAACATAACCAACTAAACTGTTTCTGAACAGACAACCCTGTCACAGACGTTGCTAACGAGGTCATGTGCTACACAGCTGTCATACAAACGACCACAGGGAAGAAGTGTCCGTATTCAAGTCAAACCACACATGACAGAGACAGGTATTGTCATGAAATAAGGCTGTCTAAAGCTGCAGGCAAACTATGCGAGAAGAAAATAATGATTGAAGATCATATGGTTAATTTCTTTAATGCCAACCCATATGCACAATATACAGAAAGGGTGAAAAAATTAAACTAATCATAATTCCTTTTAAATAAAGCCACCCTTCCTAGTGTTGTCCATGCAAAACTGCATACTAATGAACTTATATTGTTTGATTATTTTTATCTAGGATGTCAGACTGTGCCACAGAAGCCCAAAATGAGAAGTGTGCAGACTCAGTGCAACCTTTTAAAGCCACACACCCTTCTGTCAAAGCCTGAACCCCCATTAGTCTCCAATGAGGAGCTTGACCAGTCATGGACTTCAACAAATCTGCAGGAAGACTCCCATGATTTGTCCTTTATCCCATCTGAATCTGATCACACTGAAGCCGAGTCTGACTGTGGTCTTGATGATGAAAACATGTAAGATTTTTATAATTTATAATTTACCATGCATATATATAAAAGTATAATCTATATTTTTGATATACAATAATACATGCAAATAGCATGCTGGTTTTTTAATGCAATAAATAATTATGAAGTAATCAATGTACAAGTTACACCATTGAAAGTGTGAAAAATGCTGCTGAATGTAAAGTATTATAACCATTTCGTAAATAAATTATATACATACATTTTGTGTCATTGTATAGCAAAATTTTAATTTAATTTGTGATCAACTCTTTTGTTATTGTTTCCTTTTTAGTGAAGTATAGGAAAGGTGGTTGTTTAGTTTCAAATGAGGTCCATAAACAATACACTAGCAACCTGGCCTGTCATATTTATACATGTGTTTCATTCACACCTGTCTAAGTCTATAGATAATTATCTGTGTTTCAGTAATTTCTATTTGTAGATCAACATTTATGTATTTATGCAAGTTATTTGTAACAAAACATCTGAAACAAACAAAATTTAAATTATTTACTTGTTTATATTACAGGCATGAAGGAAGTGGTAGACTGTTTTTAGTATCGGAGGTTAACCTACTACAGTTATTCATGACCTGCTTTAGATGTTCTTCACCTGCCTTGGGCAACCTGACTCATGTTATCGGTACTATGGTTAAAGTGGAACAGAACTGTGGAGTGTGTGGATATAGTTGGAACTGGATCAGCCAGCCCATGATTGGATCAATTCCATCTGGAAATCTGAAACTGTCTTGTGGAATTCTGTTTGCTGGATCATTACCATCAAAGTCTTTAAGAATATTTGACTTCATGAATGTTTCTTCAATTTCAAATGACACATTCTTGAAACACCAAAGACATTACCTGCAACCTGCTATTCTGGATGTTTGGGAAAGCAATAGATTCAGGCACATACAGGAGATACAATGTGATGGGAGGAAGATCTCTATTGGTGGTGATGGGCGTTGTGATACACCAGGCCATTCAGCAAAGTTTGGCAGTTATTCTGTAATGGATTTGGATGACGGAAGGGTCCTTGATGTACAGCTAGTTCAGGTATTAAGTAGGAAGAAAGAGGTTGATGAATATCTTCCTTATTAGTCCCCCACAGTGTGTGTGTGTCTATTGTTTTGCGTCGTGTCCATCCGTCCTTCTGCTATCTTGTCTGGGCTCTATCGCCTACACTACTTGTCACTGGAACTTCATACTTGGGGTATGGGTTCACCTTGGTGAGACAGTGTGTCATGTATCAAAATTTGGTCACTCTGACCTACATTTTGACCTTTGACATACATCAAAGCAAAGTTTTGTCTGGGCTCTATCTCCTACACTACTATTTTATTACGAATTTATCATCTGTGCATTCTTGGCATATAATTTCACATCCGGTGGGGGACTGTAATTTGCCGAATTGTCTTGTTAAATTTGTTGTTTGTTTTCGTGACTGGTTGCAAATATATTTTTTAATATCCATGGATAAAACTTTAAAAAGATAAGGAATGAGCAATTCCTAAATATGCATTTTTTTCTTTATAGAGCAATGAAGTGAAATCCAGTTGCCACATGGAGAAGGAGGGATTGTCACGGAGTGTTGCCTTTCTACGTAGCCAGGACATTCAAATTGACACCATAGTGACCGATAGACATGTCCAAATAAGAAAGTGGGTGCGTGAAAACATGGCTGGAACAAAACATTGTGTAGATGTGTGGCATGTTGCAAAAGGTGAGAGACATAGTGCCCTAGCGATTTTTTGTCAAAACTAAAGAAAATAGGAATGATAATGGAGAAGATATTTATTTATAAATAACATTTCTCTTCAGGCTCTTGTTCAAATATTGCAAAAGGATTGGGGACACGTACTCCTATACTTTTGATCAAACTAATATCATATCTTTTAAAATAATTCATTAATTTTGTATAAAATGAATTGCTACTTTCTGGCACATGCTTGGGACTTATACCATGTAAAAAAAATACAGAAAAAAACCCAAGGAAAGTAATGGAAAGTTGGCGATTACATACAATAGCTACTAATCCTTTTTCTGTTGGGGTTTTATTTTTACTTTTCCATCCAATTGTAATGTGATCATTTATCATGTTTAACATTAGGATTTATTTTTTTTGATTTTTTTCAGGTCTCAAAAAAAAACTTGTTGCTATGGCAAAAGAAAAAGAGTGTGAAGATCTTCATAAATGGATTAAAAGCATATCCAACCATATATACTGGGTGGCAGCCTCAACTCCAAGTGGTGACAAAGAGGTAATGTGGCAGAAGTGGGCTTCACTTGAAAACCACATCCAAAACATACATGAAGGACATGGAAGCCAGTTTCCTCGGTGCCTTCATGCTAATCTCAATGAACAAGAAAGGAGGAGGAAATGGCTCAAACCAGGTAGGAAGTTCATATCGAAGTTAACATGAACATGGCAATAGCATTTATATATGTATTTTGTATTATGCATTGTCATTTGACAAGGCTCGAATGAGTAACATAGCATGTATGTATTTCCAATATCAAATTAGGCCTGGGTTATGTATTTGTAATTGGCAGAAAATGGGGGTTATCAATATGTTTTTACTTGTGTATATATATAGGTAGATATGATGTGTAAACAACCTACTGGAGACATGTAAAAACAGGAACTTCTTGTTTTATAACGTGAACAATTGATTTGTTTCTATTGTCAGGGTGCAAAAGTATGGTGAAATTGGAGAAACTCATTGGCTCCAGACAGATGAAGCTTGATATTCCAATGTTATCAACAGGCCACCAGACATCAGAGTTGGAGGGGTACCACTCAGTGGTTAACCACTTTGCTCCAAAGATGCATGGTTTTTCGTATAATGGAATGATGTGCCGGTAACTACATTTTTCAATTATTTCAACCATTATAGTTCATCTGTCAATGTGTTCAACACAGAAGTGTTAAATACATTTTCACTGTCCTTAAACACTGTGAAGAAATATATATATTTTAATCTCAAATTTGTCCAAGGGGTGGGGACATTAATTATCAACATAACCATCATTTGTGTCATAAATCTACTGGCTTCATTTCTGATCTTTTTTATAGAAAAATTATCAAATAGGTTAAATGAGAATTTATGAATATAACTTCTTTTTCCAGACTTCTACTTGCTGCACTCCATTTCAACGAAAATAGTGGAAGGGAACAAGCTGTCACAAGCCAAGGAGAGCTCTGTTACAAGATCGTCTTTCCCAAACACAAGAAGGGTGGCTATACTTTGAGGGAAGTGAAAACAGAGCCAACATTCAGTAAGTATAAAATTATTTATTAAGGACATACAATAGTGAACGCAGAATATATAAAGAAGAACAATGTTAAATTAGATTCACATGTATTTTTTCGGATTATTTAAATAAATGATAATATACAAACATTTGACACTATAGTTTCTGCTTTTAGACTATGTCCAGGAACTGACAGGCAACGTCTTCACGAGGACAGCTGCCTGCAGCATGACACAATCACACCACGCAATGCTTGCACACCCACCACCGCCTTTGTGCAATTCTTTTGAGAGACCAGTGAAGGAACAGGCTGTGTCCACATTCCAATCACGTTTTGGCAATCATGAGTAGAGGCGTCACGATTTACCGCGATGCACTTGTCACACGATTATTTATGTTCGATTCACGACATATTTTTCCGGATTTTCAATATGTCGCAATCTGAATATTAGTGTATGCCGCTTCAGCCGAAATGTCAAAAGTGTGGAAACAATTCGGGTTTCAATGTATCGACTGCTTATATATCTCATTTTGTTTATATTTTAAAATAAAGGTGCATCGAATCGTTGTGTAAATATCAAGATAAGTATCCAATCGTAGGTAAAGTGTACGTGACAGCTCTAATCATGAGTAATTGAAGCCAGTGTATGCATCATCTTCAGCTGGAAATGTGCTCCGTATTGCCGACACTGCACATGAAGGAAGAGGAACTCTGACCTTTTTCCCAAGAAATCCCCAACACCAACGAACAAGTTGTCGATAGGCAGTGTATCTGTAACGCCTGAAAAAGAAATGTGACATTACACTTTCAGTAGCGAACAATATACTATGAACCTGTGCAAAACACTTTTTTTGGTCTTTTATTACAGGGGTTTGCTGTGCGTGTATATATATATGCAATTCTTACTTTGGACTCTCTGGTATATTCCCATTGTGGTATTGTTTGTAACTCTGTTTGTAAGACAAATACATCCAGGCATACTGGGCGAAATCCTGGGTGCTCTGTAATACAGGCAAGACCCTCTACTTTATCTCGTGTTTCCTGTACACGCATAATTTCTCCGCAACACACACATTCTGGCAGAGTTGGCATAACCTGACATCTTTGGCATTGACACCTAACAAAGATGAAAAAAATAGATTTGCATTAAGAAAAAGATAATACTCATTTCTATAGTCTTCTTGCAATGACAATGTACAAACAATTACTGACAATGACAACTTTAGAAACCCATACGAAGGAAAAAAAATGAAGCTCAAAAAGGGCTTGAATATTGCAGTATCTTGCACTTCAAACGAACCTTTTTTTAGGATATTACCATTTTATGACGCACTTTGAAATTTATATCATAGTCGTCGCAAGCGCCATTTTTAAAAACGTAAACAAAACACTGACTTTTGAGTTTGAAATAAGTTTTCTTGTGCTATATTTGAACTAAAAATTAATTATCTGTAGACAAAAAAAACACATGGCTAACTTTTCTTAAGGATTGTTTAACTGATATGTTGACACATTGACGATAAAAAGTATTTACGAAAAAAGTGATTCGATTTATGTACTGATCAGACTTGGGTCCCGCCACCTTATATAACGTATCGGTGGTTAATAAAATTCGTTATGCAACTGTTTGTCGGTATTTTGTTGTTTATTCGTCAACCAAATATTAGGATAAAATAATATGTCAATTTGTAATTTATATGGAATGTAATGGGGGATAATTACCAGTCGGTGTTTCCCAATTGGTCGTCGTTGGGAGCTTCATCCGAGTCGTCACTTTGGCTTCCATTCAGCTCTGTGTCTGAGATTTCCGGTTCAAACTGATACGGTTGGATGCCGTCTTCAACATTCTCACGTTCGTCATAATCTGATGCCTCAAAACTCATATCCAACTCGCAATCGGACGCTGCACTACTCTCGCTGTCACTGATTCCTTCCATGATGGCTGTCATTCGGTTGAACTTGTGACGTCACAGCCGAAAATCGTCCAATTCACCGGAAGTAACGATTACGCTAATTAGCGGGAAAACGACAGGTGCAAATCGCACACTTCACGTGTCTGTATCTCGGAACTGAGTTGACCGATTTCGATGCGGTTTTCGATATTTTTGTTTTTAGATCATATATATTGATGTTATATGCATTTGTATTTTCGTTCAGGGTACACTTTAATTCTGATTTTGTTTTATATATAATTTTGCATTGCAAAAGTTACACATGAAATCATACGAATACTTGTTGTCTCCGATTGTTACACACGGAATAAAATAAGATGAGGTAACTTGAAATTAGCGAGGTCCATGTTACAGGAAGGAGAAACCATATTAAACATTTATTTAAAGTGTAGACTTGTAAGGACCAATATTTTCATTCTGTTCATAATTTAATACAACCTTCTTTTTTATTTTTCATTTCTACAAGCACAATTTTTTTTTACGAAATTTGGGGAATTGAGGGGGTNTTTTGGGTGATTTCACAGTGCAGGGACAGTCGGCTTGTCCGCCTCGGTAGATTTTTCAATAAACTTATGTTGATCAGTAAACTGTGATAACATTTTATACAATGTATACTAAACGGAGACACTTATAATGATGTGTTAATTAACGTACCGGTCCTTTTCAATTATAATCTAGATTGTTTAAAGGGGAAATCGTGTAATCTAGTCAAATTAACCGACACTTGCACATCGTAAATGTTGCCCCAATATACGTCTATTGGACAAAGACGAAATGTTTATCACGTTACAAGGCAATGCTACTTTATATTAAGCATACATGGGTAATTTTAAATAGATCTCGTGGAACTCGTTTCTTTTTAAATATCCACTACAAGACGGGTTTTCCCCCCTAGTATGTGCTGGCATTTCTTTTCCGTTCGGGAAATTCAAGTAGCGCTTTCTGTTCGGTGTGCCGATTGTAACTGTGCATCTGTGGTACCGTAGACAGGAACAGCGGACACAGCAGACATATATGGCCCAAAGTTTTAATAAAACTTGAACTAGTAATATACTGTATTTTCTCTGTCCAGACTTAATCCCCATCACCCATGAACGCGGGATAGTCGTGGAGGGCTTATCAATGTAAAGCCGGCGGATCTACCTTGATATAGCCGGCGTTTCTTCCGCGATCATCCCGCGGCTACGAGCGACAGGGATTAAAATTTGTCGCTCGGCGGGCGACTGAGTACCAAATCACCTCACGCGTACTGTATATATCAAGATAAATGTAAATATTTACCAAGTCTCATGTTTACAATTGAATTTGATGCAGAATATCAATTACGATCGTACTGATCGTCATTTTGCTACTAACTATATGAAATGTAACTGCATACTGAAATAAATTACAAAGAATATATTTATTTCTATACTTATTTACATATACTATATTTCAACTAGAGTAAAGAACAAGGTTAGTTACAAAATATCTTTATTTTACAATCTTCTTCGTAGAACCACAACACTTAGGCATTTGACTAAGTTCAGAAAATACGTATTCTGTTTATGTCATGTTTCTGTTAATATCATGGGTTTTTTCTGACAAATTGGAATTGATATTAAGCGAAATCTACTGTATTTCAATAGGTTGGGGGGTTTTTTTTG